CAGATACTCAGGAGGCTGAGGCAGGAAGATCACCAAATTTGATGCCAGCTTCGACAACTTAGTAAGACCCTGTCTCAAAATAAAATTAAAATGGGCTAGGGATATAGCTCAGTTGTAAAGTACTTGCCTGGCATGTGTGAGGCCCTGAGTCTGATCCCTAACACACACACTCACACACACAAACACACACACACACACACACACAATTAATAACCAGATCTTGTGAAGGGAGAACCCTGCTTTGTAGCTTTAGCCTATTTCTATGATATAAACACTCATACTATGGAGTATTTGAAGCTACCAAGGAAATCACTGGACACAAAATTGGAAAAAGATGTACACAACTGGCCTGTGCAAGACATTACAAGCCTGCTTCAGCACTCCACTGTTTTTGTTTTTGTTTTGGTATGTTTGTTTGCAGTACTGGTGATTGATCCCAGAGCCTTGTGCATGCTGGGCAAGCACTCTACTTCCAAGTTACATTCTCAGCCCTTAACATATACTGTATTTTGAGACAGGGTCTTGCTAAATTGCCAAGCTGTCCTCAAATTTATAATCTTCCTGCCTGTAACTCCCTAGCAGCTGGGATTACAGAAATGCACCACCGTACCAGGCTTCTTCTGATTTTATCCATAGAAATATAATATCATAATAGAAATTAAAGACTATTTTAAAAATACTTAGTAACTCATTTTCCAAATAATAAGTCCCTTACTGCTAACATAAAAACATTTTAAGAAAAACAATTACATTTTACAAAGCAAACAAGATATTTAATGAGAAGAATAATACTATTTTTTTTTTTTTACAAATACCCCCCTTTTTGTTTTTTTAATTTTCATGCCTATGATTCCTGTGACTTGGGAGGCTGAGGCAGGAAGACTGAGAGATCAAACCCAGTCTCAGCAACATAGCAAAGTCCTAAGCAACTCAGAGAGACCCTGTCTCTAATAAAAAATATTAAAAAGGGCTGGGGATATGGCTTCATACTTAAGCGCCCCCAGGTTCAATCTCTAGTATCAAAACAATTTTTTTTTTTAGTTAAAAGATGGATGCAATACCTTTATTTTATTTATTTGTATGTGGTGCTTAGGATTGAACCCTGGACTTCGCATGCACTAGGCAAGTGCTCCACCACTGAGCCACAAACCCAGCCCTTATTTATTTATTTTTATGTGGTGCTGAAGATCAAACATAGTAGTGCCTCACAAATGCTAAGCAAGTGCTCTACCTACCACTGAGCCCCAACCACAGCCCTACAAATTCCTTTAATATCTAGTTAATGGAAGATACTAATATCTACTTTTGCCATGAATCTGTTACATGTTGTGTGTTGTGTTAGTTGGTATGTGAAAAAAATCTGGGCCTGATATAGATAACATGATAACATGATTTTAAAAGGGAATAGTACTAAAATAGCTTTTGGTAGCTTGCTTTATTTATTTATTTATTTATTTATTTATTTATTTATTTATTTATTTATTTGTGCTGGGGAGAAGCTCAAAGCCCCAGTCACATTCTGCAAGTTTTCTACTACCGAGCCACATTCCCAACCCTTTTTCCCCCCAGTCCTTTTTTAAATATTATTTTGAGATAGGTCTTAATTAAGTTATATATGACAGTAGAATGCATTCATGCACTTTGATATATCATACATAGATGGGATATAATTTCTCATTTTTCAGAGCATACAAGTTGTAGAATCAAATTAGTCATGCAGTCACATATATACATAGAGTATAATGTCTGTTACATTCTACTTTCCTTCATATCCCCATATCCCCCATCCCCTCCCCTCCCTTCACTTCCCTCTACCTAATCTAAGGAACTCTATTCTTCTCTAGTACCCCCCCACACATATTGTGAATTGAGCATCCACACTTTAAAGGAAACAAACATTCGGCCTTTGTTTTTTTAGTGGGAGAATTGGCTTATTTCGCCTAGCATGATATTCTCCAACTCCATCCATTTACTGGCAAATGCCATAATTTCATTCTTCTTTAAAGCTGAGTAATATTCTACTGAATATATATCATATTTTCTTTATCCATTCATCTACTGAAGAACACATAGATTGGTTCCATAGTTTAGCTATTGTGAATTGAGCTGCTATAAATATTGGTGTGGCTCCATCACTGTGGGATGCTGATTTTAGGTCCTTTGGGTATAAACCAAGGAGTGGGATAGCTGGGTCAAATGGTGGATCCATTTCAAGTTTTCTGAGGAACTGAGATATAATCTTGCTAGGTTTCTTAGGCTGACCTTGAATTTGTGATCTTCCTGCTTCAGCCTCCTCCCAAGTTGCTAGGATTACAGGCATGTGTTACTGCACTCTTATAATAGCTTTCCCAGAAAACATAGATAATCTTTTTTGATAAACGTCAAAACTGGACAAGTCGAAGTTTTTCAAAGTTTAGTTGCAATGTGCAATCTGAAACCCTATCAGTTACATCAAAACCCACTAGTCTGAGCTGGGGTTGTAGCTCAGTGAAAGAGCACTTGCCTAGCGTTGTGAGGCACTGGGTTTGATTCTCAGCACCACATATGAATAAATAAAATAAAGGTCCAACAACAACAT